CTCTCTCTATCCCTCTACCTACCTACCTACTCTCGCCCTACCTATCTACTGTATTTCCCTCTCTCTGTATTTCTCTCTCTCTATCCCTCTACCTACCTACCTACTCTCGCCCTACCTATCTACTGTATTTCCCTCTCTCTCTATTTCTCTCTCTATCCCTCTACCTACCTACCTACCTACTCTCTCTCTCCCAACCTATCTACTGTATTTCTCTCTCTCTCCCTCTATCTACCTACCTACTCTCTCTCTTCCTACCTACCTACTGTATTTCTCTTTCTTTCTCTCCCTATCTAGCTACCTACTTTTTTTTATTTGCCTCTTCAAAACCTTGGTGCATCTTATACTCCGAAAAATAGGGTAACTAAATTTATTTTTGTTTTATTTTTATGCTTTTTCTGTCTGTGTCTCTTAAGACTTTTAATTAATATCATTTATAAGTTTTATATATATGTATAAGTGAAATATATATTTTATGGAAGACCAATGAATACTTCTTTGAGTCCCAGAAAATTGTAGACAACAAACAAAAGAAATAGAAACAGACAAACACTAACCATAGTGCTGAATTTAGAAATGTGCCAAAACTTACCAAGAAACTAGTATTTTTTAGCCTGATCTCCTGAAATTAGAACTGTTTCTAATAAGTTTTGCAAGTGAAAAAAGGAAAAAATGTTATTTACCTGGTGAACTTGAATTTCTACTTTCAGAGCCTCCTGTAGAGTCTGCAACTCCATTCTCTGCCTTCTCCACTTTCTTGCTCTGTTGAGGTTACCAAATCCCCACACCTTCAGATGCTCGTTTTAATAAGAAGAAAAACTTTGTTCTTTCCAGTAGTCCTATTAAAAAGTGTTTTAATAAAAAAAGGGGAAAAAACCATTAGTCCTATTCATAGAACTAATTATGAGATCAAGATACATAAGCATATAATCCAATTTTTTATCTCAAGACTTTCAACAACTTTGCAGCATAATTATTTTACAAAACAAAACTATGAGCCATACACTTATCTGATACTAAGTCCTAAAAGTTTGATTTAACTTACTTCATAATAAATGGCCATAAAATCAAAAATGTATATTCCTAAAATATTCTATTAAAACAAATGGCAAATACAAAATGATCTCTCAAGTTATTATTAAACAAAATAACTTTATATTAAATGAAAATAAGATAATACTGAGAAATTAAACCATTTCTTCCAATAATTAATTTAGAAAAGATCTGTAACATTTTATTTTCAGAGCCATTATAATAACCATAAAATAACTATTAAAAACTAAAATTAAATAATTCTGAATCCAGACCTTTTTTACCACCTTTTAAAGTGTGATATACCAAGTTTATACTGGTGCTTTAAGATCCCCTTCTGAGAACATTATGTTCTGTAATAAATATTTCACACAATATACTTTATTTAAATGATGTCAGCTAAAAAGCGTACATTCTAAATTCACTTGTGTAGAAACTGCAAAAAAATAAAGCAGCTTACCAACTTTGCTAAACAAGTATCCTCTTCAGCCCTCTAGTCCCCCTACAAGAGAGAGAGAGAAGAATTGATGGGTTAGCAATATATCTAACACTAACTTTTGAATAAAAATACAATTAGGAGACAACTGTCAAAAATGGTGTTTATGAAATTATGACAATATATATATTAAATAAAGAGAGGAAGGAAAGTTAGAATTGGAAGAAAGTGGGGAAAAGTACCTTTGAGAACTTTGCTACTGTGTTTCTCCAAAAAGCCCAGGTCTTATCTTCTTTTGACCCCTGAAAAAACTGCTAGGCCTTCTTTTTGGAAGGTTCTAATTATTGACTCATCTCGCGGTAGTGGCACCAACAGCCCCGCCCAGCAGGAGCCCAATGCTAGCCCTCTTTTCTGTGGCTGCTTGCTGCCACTCGCACACATCGTCCCGGCCTCTGTTTCACCTTCAGATGCCTTCCAGCAGGCATTTGAAGGCAAAATGGAGTCCCGGACAATGCGTTTCGAGTGGTGGCAAGCGGCCACAGAAGAAGGCGAGGCAGGTGTCGGAGTATATGAGGCCTGGTAAGTAGGGCAGGTCCACCCCAGGATGATTATTTTTTACCTGTGTGCCTCACCTTATCCCCTGCACCCTGCATGCGGTGGGCAGAGTCTTAATTAGGGCTAATTTTGTGGGTGGGGCTTAATTTGATCGCATGCGCTCAAAAATGTGATAGGATTTCTTTTCAGGGTGGGTCGTCTTTTTGGAGAATCACGGTATATCAAAACAGGGTAATATTCTTTTTCCAAATGGACAACTATTTTAAACAGAATTCAATCATTATTCCCTTTTGCCTGCTGAAAATACCTGAAAGCACAGCCAAACTCCAAACCAGGATGAATTAATGAATTAAATATTTGTGGTATTGTTAAATGGGATTATTTAATTTGCTCAATAATCTCAAGATTAAAATTTACTGAAATATTGCTTAATATTTGTAAGTAACCCAGATCTTTCTAGTTTATAACCAACTTTCTAATCGGTGGGCAAGGATAATTGACGCGCAAAATATAGCCTCTCATTATCAAGACAACCCCTGCCTTCTCGAGGTGCCCACCATTTTCCAACAGAAGGGGCTCTGTCAACTCTTGGGCCCGGCGAGCTCAAGTAGTACTCAGCCTAGAATCATGGATCCCGTTGATTCGGGATGCATGCGACTCTACAGCGAAGGGATTGGCGATGCCGTACCGACGCTAAAGACTTAAGTCAAGTAAGTCAACTTTCTAATCAAGAATTCTTGGCTCTCAGAAATGGAATTCAGGTTGTGATGATGATTATGTGACATCAAATCAGTACAATCACACTGATTTTCCCCAAAATCTGTCCTTAACCTGATCCTTCAGGTCATGCAATGGTGCACCAACTGCTTTGCAATGAAGTCCATCCACCTTGCTGCTGACTGCCCTTTTTTCCCTTTTTGTTTCACCAGTCAAAGCATTATAGACTTCACCATTACTAATCACAATTTTGTCCAAAATTAGGATAATTTAAACCTAGTTATTTGTGCCTCAAATGAGAACTCTGGGTTGATTAATTCTACGATGTATTATTTCTTGGCTACTCATGGTAGTGTGAGGAGTGTTCTGATTTCAAAAGAGTTAGTACACTTTCTTCCTTAGTTCTTCAAAGTCCAATTACGAAGTATCATGGAAAACCACTGGCACAATTTTGATTTTTATGGGGATAGACACAAAATATCTGAATATTTTCTAAGGCCTTCACTGCTATTTTACCAAATGATATCTGTGGTGCATAGCTGTTTTCAGTATTCTTTGGCTTTCTCAATTATCCAGAATGCATTAGCAAACCTGGGTCCTGCTAGGGGCTATTTGCAGTTTGACCAAACACATCCCACGCTGTAATTTTAGCCAAGATCTAACAATTAATAAAGGTATTTAGTTTTTGTGAAGCTTACATTTAAATTCTGGGTATATTTTGAGAAAAATGATGAATAAAATCAACTAAACAGTTCTACTAATACTTCTTTTTCTCTTTATTTCTTAACAACTCCTTTCAATTGAAGTTTGAAATTCTACACCCCTATAACTCAGATTTTGAAAACAGTAGTACAAATTTTGAGAAATAACAAAACATCAAACCAGGAAATATTTGAAAAGCTAAATTTTTAATTAAAACCCATTTAAATGACATTATGCATACATCTAAAGATGGATTATATTATCACTATTCAGTTCTTAAATTGTGCAAATTTTCTTGTCATATTTTCAAATTACAAAAACATAAGAACATTTTTGAATTAAGTTAGACTGAAAAACAAATTCAGCTCTTCCAAGAGTCATATAACTTCCTGCACAGTTTATGATCTTATCCTGATTATTCCACACTCACACTAAATTATCATCTTAAATACACACAAAAAATAGAGTGAAATTATTTAATAACTTCCTATATTTCCTATTAGAAAGCTCTAATAAATATACAGTACTACAGTAAATGATTTATAACGCATATTGCCTCAAAATACAGGTACTCATTTATAAATTTAAAAAGCAAGATTTAATTTCATACTGTAATCCATGAAATGGAGAATATGTACAAGTTATTTAACAGATGCAAGTTGGACTTCCGGCGGTGACATCATTGTACTAGGATTGAGGAATGGCAGCTCCCGTAACCTGTAACTAAAACTTCTTTGTTTGGGCTCATGTTTCAGTACTGTGGAACCCGAAGGGATCAGCAGATTCAGGGGGAAACTTTGAAGACACTGGGGTGGTAAGGCAAACTCCCCAGTGGGTAGGAGAAACCCACTAAACGGACAAGGATCTATCCTGTCACTTGGACAGAACTAGAGTGATGGTGACCGCATAAGAGGGAAGCAAACAGAAAAAGAAGTTGAAATCGAGGCATTTGTTATCGTCGACAACCCCCAAAAAAGAAGGACAGCACGAAATTGGCGGAGCAGGTGAGCTGGAAAGAAAAAGGCTCTGTGGTGAAGACTGTTTTTACAGTCCAGATTCTTGCCGAAAAGCAATGAGAGCTGGGGTGGAGAGCTGAAAATGGCAGTGTGAATAATAGAAGGGAAGTGACCGCAGAGGGAAACCCAATAGGAGAGGGAGGAGAAAGCACCAAAAGCCGGCATTTACAATGGAAGCAGATATATTGGCTGTTGAGAAGACCTGGAAAGCAAGCAAAGGATTGTATAACAGTCAGGCTGGTTGTTGTTTTTTTTCTTCTCCTTTCTGCTCTTTTTTCTGTTCTTTTTTTCCTCCAAAGAATAGCTGAACTTTGAGCAGAGTTTCAATCGTGAACAATAAATCCAGGTAACGAAGAGCTCAACTTTTTTGGGGGGAGGGTTATTCTACAAATATACAGTACTTACTCTCCTCGGGAGTTGTAACTGGATAGGGGACAGTAGTTTGGGACAGTTGGAGAATTCTTTTATTCCCCCCCACCTTTGTTCTGTCTTTGCCCTTGGGCCTGCTGTGATTACTGACTGTGATTGACCGAATGGACAGGAAAGGGCGACATCTAGTGGATTATAAATTTGAGCTGCGAAGGCTGATGCAAGAGAAATTGGCTGTGACATAAGGTGGATTAAGAAAACCATAGAGAAACTAATTATTAGAACTGAGTATCTGTATAACTGACATAACTGAGAAATATTTATTTGCATAAGATAATAGTGTGATATATAATTCTGTGATATATAATAGTTAAGGATTAAAAATAGAATAGAATAATATATAGGATTGTCTAGATATTGAAACGTGATATTAAGAAAGGTTAATTATTGTTAAATATTGAGATATATAACCACTGATATTTGTGATAAAGTAGAAGTAAAGTAGAACCTGTATGCAATTGTGGACGAGGATAAATAGAGGGATAAAGAAGGCAACTAGTACTAATTTAGTGAAGACAGAGAAAAAACAGCATCCAACCCTGCTTCACCAACATCCTCACCCTCAAACCAAAGATCTATCGAGAGTGCTTTGGGGCTGGAGAAAGGCGGAGCAATGGCAGGAACAATGGGACTAGCACAAACAATGCAAAGTATGCAATTGATGCTTCAGATGATACAAGAGACAATGACGAAAACCCAAGAAGCGATAGCTACAAATCACGAAGAGATGAGAAGGAACCATGAAGAAATTAAAAACCAAATGGGAGGATTCAAAGGAAATATCAAAAACATGGATGACAAAATTGAAAAGATACAGAATGCCTTAACAATCAACAAACAGAAAATCCAGAACATTGAAACAAAAATAGAACAAACAGATCAGAAGATGGGGTTGAAATATGCACAAGTCAATAAAGAGTTAGATGAATCAATAATCCGACTTGAAAACGAAAGAGCTTCATTTTATCTAATATTCCAAAACATAGTTGAAGAAAAAGAGGAAAACCTGAAAGGAAAAATGATCGAAATCTTCACTGAAATTTTACAGAGAAAAGAACAAGCGTTGAGAGGAGACATTGATGAGGCTTACCGTGTGCATTCCAATTATGCCAGAAGACATAGGCTACTGAAAGAAGTGCATGTAACATTTGCCAAAAAACAACTAGAGACGAAGTGTACTAAAAAACCAGAGAAGGGATAATAACATACAAGGGAAAAGAGTTGATTACTCTTAAACAGATACCACAGAAAGTCCACGAAGAACATAGATGTTACTGATTTTTAACTAACCAGTTAAATAAAAACAGAATAATGTACAGATGGTTGATACCAGAAGGGATATTGGGCTTTTGGCAAGGAAAAAAATACAAAATAGAGAATAGAGAAGAAGCGCAAGAATTTTACAAAAAACACTTCACAAGGGAAGAAGAACAAGGAAGTAAAGAGGACCTAGTAAGTAGAAGTTAAGAAGAAGAAACAGCAGAAGACAAGGAAAGAAACAGGAAAGAAGAACAGAAGCAAGAAACTTGAATGGATTGAACACACCAAAGAAAAGAGCGCAAATGTTTAATAAACTTAGGAAACTGAAGGCAGACATAACCTGCATACAGAAAGTGCACATTAAAAGGAAACATATTAATTTACTGG